CTTTTCATCATCCCTGGTTTATGCATCATTTTGGTTCCACTGTCCCTTGCCTGCCAAATGGCAGGAAACTCTGCCTGTTTCCCACCAAATTTTGTCAGCATATATCTATCTTCCTATCTGAAATATAACTTGAAGTTTTATATAAGAAAGTGAAAGAAATGCTAAAAAAAAGGGGGGGGGAGAGAAATATATATTCAACAGCAATTAAAGCATGATCTTCAACCTACTTTATGAGCAAGAAGTAACAGTGTAATTGGTCCAGCAATCAACGCCCAGAAGTCCACACATCTTAAAGTTGCTGAGGCTGAGAAAAACACTGGTCTATATGTTATGACCAGATATCTCAGGTAACCCTGCCAGGACCAGCAGCAGCTTCCTAACCAAGTAAAAGTATAGCTCCCAACCCCAAATAGAGCACAGTTGTCCAAGCGTGGGATGACCTTGTACGAATTACAAGTGGGCACCTGGCTGACTGAAAAACAGTATCATTGGTGTACTAAGCATGGATGCGTCTTGGCACAGATGCTACTTGGGTCTTTAAATAATAGGGAATCCAAGCAAACCCTGACCAAATGACAGACTGCAACCCAATAATCTAGATTATTCCATCTTCATAATTCTCACACTCCGAAATTATCCTCAACGGAGAATGGGTACATGGCATCAAGGAATTGGTTTAGAACATATATAGTCTTTTTTGTTCAGATGAGACTCTGAAAGAGGGCTGATATTACAGTCCAAAGCTAGACAACACCTTCATATGGATGTCAAATTGCACTGAGGAATAAGTAATAATTATTTAGCACCCTACTGTATAGCTACCAGGAGAAGTGGTACAATCATCTTGTATGATAACATTTTTGGAAATGCTTCTATAAATGTGGGAGAAAGTAATACAGGGCTGTCTTTTCAATCTCCAAACCATGCAGATGATCCAGAACAGTATCAAAGCCAATGAATTCAAAAGCTGCTGAGACATAAAGCAGATCAGCAGAATCACACTCCCTTTGTTTTTCTTTTGCAAAAGACCAATCTTTCTGAACCAGCATAGATATACAGTGTTCACACCATTTCTTTTCAGGGAACATTATGCAAAGCACCAAAAAAAAAATTACAGAAAAGAAACTAAGGCATTGGGTAAAAAAAAAGAAAAAGAAGCAAGCAAAATCTAGTTTACACTAAATCTCCGTACCTGCCAGCCCTTTGCAAATCTTCCTTGCTTCCACTCTGCTAGTATACCAATTCATATTTTATCTTTTTATTTAAAAAAAAAAATGCTTCTCACCATACCCACTTTTGACTGCCTTTGGAGGATTTCATCAATTCCACCCAGCTATGTGCTTTTGGGTTTTCTCCTTCCTCTCAACCTCCTCTCTCATGTATTTATTTTATGATTTGAACCTCATTCATTGTCTCTTACTGGTCACTCACCTTTGTATTCAATCCATGTTCATTCACCACCCATTCATTCTTGGTCCCACCTGTTCTTGATTAATCACACACACGTAAGTAACTAATTTCCATTGTATTCAATTTACTTTTATGTTTCTCTTGACACGCATATCTCTTATTTCTACATAATCCTTACCTCTTTTAACCCTTGTTAGCTACCCACTAGGGTATAATCACTAGAATAGGTAGCTCGATAAATGGATTAAATTTTTAAAAATCTGGCATGACAGCCAGTTTCACTACGTTTAACAAACATTTCTTGCTTACAACAACATGCAAACTACTGACTACTTTTCTACCAGCATTGGGATGTCTTAAAATGTTTCTATTTTCTTGTCTTTAACAAACATTCTCCCAAGGTACAACCATTCATCTATGTCAGTCCTATGAAGTAGACCAGATCAGAAAGCAGACTCCACAAGTAACTAGAACTATACTATACTGATAATGGAGAGGGGGCAATGATCAAGAGACCCTTGGAAGGCCTTCAGTACTGAAACCAGCCCCATATCATTGGACCAGTTCATGTGCTGGATCTGTCAACAGATTCTGTATTAGAAAGTCAGTATGGAGCCAAACAACTTTAGCATCGGGTTTCCCAATCTTGCCATAGCAAACTTCTAAAGACCTCCAACACAGGATTTACTTGATATGAGCTGACAAAGCTTTTATAATGAGCCTGAAGCTCAGCACTGCCCAACCTTTATGCTGAACTTGACTCTAGGTGACTGTATCCACGCAGTTTTCTTGGAATGTTACGGAAATCGTTTGCTATTGCTTTCTTCAACAATGGTTTTCAACTTCCCTGCCTAGCAGATGGATGACAAGAAATCACCCAGAAAAGCTCTTTTGCACAGCTTCATGGGGCCCTCAAAGCCTTCAAATGCCATGCTATAGATGTGATTACTTATGGCATATATCACTTTTACAACAAGTCTTACACTGCTTATGTTAATATGATCTTCTGGTCTAAAACACTGTCTGAAGATCCTCAGAAAGCAAGAGGAAAGTCTAGACCCCACAGTTTTGGAGATGACAGTCAGGAGTGAGTAAGACAATTTTTCCTAACAAAAGGATAAAATATTTATCCTAATTTGTATCCTCTACCACTGCCTCACAGTCCCTTCATAAATCAAACAATAAATTGCTCACAATACAGACCCACAGAACTGTTTATAGGAGGTGGAGAAAATATCAGAGGGCAGTTGATGAATCATTCATACCATACTTATTAGTGTATTTGTGCAGTTTATATTAATTCTTGCACTCAGAAAGATTTGTTGAACCATATAACTGTGACATGGGTATTTACTGATTACATACACTGATTACTTTTAGTACAACTTATATGCAATGTAAGTATTTTAGAGGATAAAGGGATGATGAATGGGAAAAGGTACAGGAGGCAGAAGAATGGCCAAGAATGAGAAGTCATAAAAATACAAAGAAAATAACTTTGTGGAAAAACTGGGTTACCTAGAAATCTAAAAATAGAAGTGATGGGAAGCTTTAGGCTGCCAGAACAGAAAATAGGGACACTGAGATCTCTAGGAGTGGCCTAAAAGTTGCAAAAGAATTATGGTATAAACAACAGCTGGATGAGTCCCAGAGGGAGAACTACACTGACTGATAGACTTCTGAGATTACAGATGCCCTGCCAAAGCTTTGACTTCTGAAGAAATTCATCATATTCTGAGGATATGCTCAACTCTATAACTGTGTATAAATCTCAACAGGAAAAATTACAAATCTCTTTAATTACATTGAGTAATATTAAATTTAGATTTTCATATCATGCTTAAGTTGTTTGTTTTCTTGCAATGCAGGACTGTTCACTCTGGCCTATACAAAGGAGTGATCTAAGTTAAACAGAACTGTGCTGTAATTTTTGTGCATAATAGTTCTATGCTCAACTGTAGTAGGAATATATGAATAATTTGTCGATAATGATCTGAATGTCCCATGGAATATCAAGTTGATTTCAACTAGCTATATGGGCCCAGCCCCACTCAAGTTTATCATTTCTACTGCCTTGAGTCCTGATCTCCTTGATTTATGGAGGACCTGTAATGAAAGTAGTTGACATCAAAGCTGATTTGGGCACAGATAGTTCCCAACGATTGCAAAGGCTGAGCTGAAAAAAGTAAAGATATTCCACTTAGTGAGTGAACTAGTAAATCTGCACTGTAATCTGATGTTTGCAACTCAAAAGCAAAATAATCATTCACAATTAATTTGCAGTGGATTCATGGAGACTCAATCCCTCATGTAAAGTTTAAACACAGGATATGAGCTAATAAGGTTATGGAATTTATCAGGCCCACTCATTATCTTTCAACACTGAAACAAAGATTATGGTATACAACTAATCACACAACAGTAAGATTAATTTCTATTTTGACTGAACTTTGCTGCCTTGATGTTCAGGAAGGATAGCCTACCAGAACATCTGATACTTGCAACTGTTCAGGTTTTGCAGTATACACATTTGTCAATTGTAGCAGCAGCAAAGCAGGATTGCCAGTAAGAACCTATTATGCATGCATGCATAAAAAGGGCGAAGCTTCAATTTCAATGCCACACCCACCAACTTGTAGTTTCTCTTCTGTGCCCACTGAAGGCCCTTTTCAGAATCTGCTTTCATTCCAGAACTCTGATTGGAATCGGCCAACTGTAGTAATACACTATGTTTAGTCAAACAGCATCTTCCTCTCTTTTGAAAGTATTAGTGGATTTTAATGCTACTTCCAGGTTCCATTTCAGTTATTATTTATATTCAATCGTTACATATTATCCATTTTCTGGTGCATGAAATATATAATGTACAAAGAAACTTTTCAGTGCAGAGTCATCGTAATTTAGTAAGTATTTCTCTTTCGCAACTATTAATATGGGGGGGGGAAGCTCATCAGTTTGTATTATACTGTTCTGTCTAGATAAGGACAACTTTGCTTAAGTTTCTGTCATTTAACTGCTCGGTAAGTTCCCACTGGCTTGGCCAACAGGATGCAAGGGAGCAGGAAATTCATCAGTTATCCTCTACATAAGGCAATGAAATCAGGCATGGCAGAGAGAAGTCCACACTCTGGCCAGGCTTCTGAATTCTATCAGAAGAAGTCCTTACAGACTGACAAGATAGAGGTCCATGCGCTGATCTAAGGTAGAATTACAGAGGACTGAAATTCAACATAAAGACAGCCAAATTATAGACAGAATGGCCTATGGAACATTTCTAGTATGATCTAGTTAACATCAGGAAATTGTATTTGGAACACATTATCTTCAAGCTATTATAAAGCTAAAAAACCAGAGTCTGTAAATTGAAAGACTAAATTGCTTAGATGTCCCTTAGGAAACATTCAATCACAGTACCTACATTCTGCAAAAATCATAGCCGAAAAGCCATCAGGAATAAATGCAACCAAAATGCTAATTAAATGAAAAGTAAGTGCTATTAACGTTATTTTATGCAATTAGATGTATATTTTAATTGTGAAAAAACTGCCTTTCCTACAGAAACTATATTAAAAAGCAGAGAAAGAAACTACCTGCTGTTGTTGGCTGCGCAAGTTTGTTATTTCCTTCTGATCCTCCTCATGAAGTCTCTTCATTTCCTCACACAACTGCTGGAGGTGATTGTGCTCTCGTACAAACTGGCTGTTCTTCCGCTTCAAGGTGTCCATGTCTTCCTTCAGCTGTGACTGGTCACTCAGCAGACGACTGTGTAATGTACTGGCAAGATGAGAAATGCCCACCAGTAAGTCCAAATAAAATGCTCTCTTGTGCTTGGAAATTAAAAGTGATTTTTAAAGGTATAGTTAATAAACAATCATACTGATAGCCATCTCTGCTAAAGTACAGAAAAGAGTTGAGGGTCAAGCATTCTGATATAAAAAAAGTAAAATTTCTTTTAAATCTAGCTCAACTTTTTGCACGTTCATAGACACTTCAATGTAATTTGGAGAAAATATAGAAGTGGTTTGCCACTGTCTTATTCTATGATGATGATGATTTACTCTCCAGGCTAAACTATGGTCCTGGGATTCCCTGGCTGCCTCTCATCTAAGCACTAACCAGGTCTGGACATGCTTAGCTTCAAAACCCACAAGGTCTATGAAGTGCTACCTTCGGGTAAGACATTGTCAGAAAGTATCTCTCTAAGGTTGTAGTGGTGAAACTACAAGCTCTAATGATGATCAATTATTATGGACTCATTATTTTGAGCACTTTGGGTTGGACTATACTGTGAAGGGAACAGCACAACTTCACATATAGTACTTTGGGGTCTGTGCTGCGTGAGGATAGAAAAGAGGGTAAGAGAGAGAGAGAGAGAAAGAATGAGAGAGGGAGCAAGCAGAGAAGAAACTCTATACACATTTGCCTCTGGCCTTACCACTAGCAGACCCTAGAATTGTTTTTTAAACAGTATTTATCATATTTTTATTTCAAGTTGTTTGCTTACAAGCCATGCTGGATGCTTCTACTGACAAAAAGGAATATGAATAATTTTAATAAATTGTTTAATTATTCTTCAGTCAGTAATAAACACATTGCTGGTTGGTTTTTCTCCTAAGTTCTTGACCCTTCAAAGAAGAAAAATCCCCCAGAGACAAGGAAATTTTAAAAAAGCACCCAGAACAGAGAGAAGACTCCCTGGTCTGAGCTTTTCTCATCCAAAGCAACTTTATAAATGCAGATAGCTGACTGGCTTCCCCTGAACTAGAAGAACTATAAATGCTTCCAGGTTAGAGCAAACCCCTGCTTGGCAAATCCCTATATCTATTGTATGTCTAACATCCTGTTTGGATCCAGACTTTTCATCCCATAGCTACTTCCAGACTAGAATGGCAGATTCAGATACCCAAAATATCCTTGAGGCATCCCAAACATCTAAACAGATACTCAAGGCTGGAATAGCTGGAAAAATTGTTGCTAGGATTATGAAATTCATTGAAGGGATAACTAAACTGCACTAGATGGATACCTTTTTGAATGTCAAGGATTAAGAAGACTAGCAATCTTGTTTGACAAAATTCACTCTAGCCCTTGGTTTATGAGAAAGTAGATTAAACAGTCAAAAGGACGACCAAGACTCATTGCATGTTTTAAAGATGTCTGAAATGCCATAGTGAGCTTTTTGGAATAGCTTTCATGGTACTTAAACTTCTATCCTTTGCACACTTTTATTTCAGTAATTGATTAAAAAGAAGGATGGTTTTTAATTATACAACAGAAGAGGAGAGGAGACTAAGACTGGGAAACAGTCTAAAACAGAAGTGAAAAAAAGTGGTCTGCTAGGACCCCTTTTACAGCTCTTTCAAATGTCCAGAGAGCGGATGAGGCTAATATTTTCAAATTCCCTTTTTTTGTGTCGCAGTTTAAGGGGGCTTAGAGCATACATTTCATCACCCTGCGACAGTGCCTGTAACATACTTGCACAATTGCACATGAGCTCACCAGGGCAAAATGGTTGGGGGTCCCTCTGTTAGGCTCCAGACATGTTGTAGGCCATTGATTATGTATTAATCTTGGCTGACAACTGTAGTATAAACAGACGTAGTGGCATACGAATTTTCACCTAATGCTGTTGAGCCAAGTAAACAGTATATAATTATTTTTAGAAAACCAGACTGCCTGTTGAGAGACATGATAAGGGACAAAAGCTGAAGGCCAGAGATACTGGATCAAGAAGCGGGCAGATAAAAATAAGGACTCTGGTAGCATCTTTTCAACAAACACATTTTATTAAAAGGTTTAACTGGGGTAAGGCAGGAGGGAAAAGGGAGGGGAAGACAGGTTGATCATCTTCCTAATTTAAATCCTACATCAGTCTAGCCACTCTGTAAATCTGCATTGGATGGAATGAGCTACAGTTCCTGAAATCTTATGCCTTATGATAAATCTGTTAGTTATAAAAGTTATTACCAGAAACCTTCACATAGATTTCACAACTCTCTTCCTATAAAGGGCAGATCAATGGGAAGAAAATCAAACCACTCAAATTTAGAAGAAATTGAATGTTAACCTGTTCTTAAACTCCAAGATGTGATCAAAATATGTATCATTGTAACTTCTGCTCATATTCTTGGAGTGAGTATGTTAACAGCAATATAGGAAGATGAGAAATAACAGATTAGAGCCGTCAAATTTTGCAGGTCCTGTACATGTAAACACCATCAAGTTCACAGCCTTCTTTCTAAAGGCTCAAAGGCAAATACAGGATTTGGAAGGATTTAGTAAACCCAAATACACTAAGGAGTTCACAGAAGTGCAAGCTATAAAAGAGAGGAACAGTGAAAGAAAGGGATGAGAGAATACTACTTCCTGAACTCCTGAAAAACTTATGAAGAGTTAAGATTGTGTGGCACTTCAGATTCACAGGCAAACAAGTTCTTTGCAGTTAGCAGGGGCACACCAATCTGCAGTTCCTCCAGTCAAACAATTATTTTCCAGGAATTGCACTGTCACTTATTACACCGCTTGTAATCAGGTTAAGGGCAAAATATAAGACCAGGTTTTGTTCTGAGCAAATGTGCCGAAAATTGAGAAGCATAAAATGCGGAAATTAATTAATTAATTTTGTAGAGCATTTGTTTGGATTTGTTCAATGAACCCAACAGAAGGGAATCCAACCAACTGCACATTCAAGCCTGAAAACAAAAGAAGGATGGTTTTGGTACTATCTAACTGTCCCATGGGGACGCTTTGACCCACACTCCAATCTGGACCAAGGAAAAAACGATTCAGAAAAAGGAAACAACCATGCCCTCCAAACAAACAATCAAAAGAAAAAACCACACCCTTTGCTTTAAGTCCGGGAAAGTCACCTTTGCAGACTACTCCATCCCATTACAAGCCAAATTTACATTCCATCAGAGTTTTTAGAAGCTGATTTTCTATCTGCAAAGATTAAAAAACTAATCCTTAATCTGCTACCAAATGCTCTGTATTTTCTCTCTCCACTGATGTTAAAATTAGGACATTCTAGAGACAAACAGGCTGAGGATAAGAAAGCTAGTATTGAAAGCCTCTGGATATTAAACTCTAAGAGAATCTATTCAATATGGAAAAACAAGAAAGAAGGTACTAATGTGTATGTTTACTTACTGATAGAAATCAGCTTCCTTAGCAGCTTCTTCACATCTTTTTAGTGTTTTGGTGTGCTGGTTCTGTAGGGACTGTAGATCTGACATTGCCTTCATACACTGTATCTTCAGTCTTTCATAATCATGGTTTGGTTTGGGGTTAGGCCTACCACAAAGAGAAGGTCATATGAGTAAGCTAAAGTTTCCTTTGAGTGTTTGTCCATGCAGTTTTGGCAACAGTATGCAAGGGATTTACCACTGCTCTCTTTTCAGCTTCCAGATCTAGCCTACAACCCTGGTAGGCTTCCATTCTGGTCTCACTATAAACTGTGAGAAACATCATGACTCCAATCCATTTCATCCCATACAAAATTTACAGATCTGGACCATGTACAAATTGGCCTTAAATGTTACAGGGAGGAAGGTTTTTCTCCTGAGGGATCAGCAACAATGGGATGACTTTCAGAGGTGTTCAGAAAACTTGCCTATCTGTTGTCTAATTCAACATAGCACTGACACACTGATCCCCACTGACACACTGCTTGGAAAAGCTTAAATATTCACACGCCAGCACGTGGTAACATTTGCAAAGTGATTTGAAAACAAGCTTGTGCAAATAAAACCAACGGCATTCTAGCAACCTTGTTTTGCGGAAGTTATCCCAATCGACATGGAAAGCCACATAAAAATGTCTAATTCTAGTGCGTAAGGATTAGGCGGCAATGACTGAAAGATCAAGTGAAGATTTCAATCAGGAGCCTTGCGACTGCGGTGGGATGGGGTTTCTTGGCCAAGGTTCCCCAAGCCAACAAGATCCATGACCACTGCAGACCATGTCATGGTAATAAGAGACGGCAGGCTTGAGGGAGAAAAGACCTAGTCAACCAGTGAATACATCTGCACTCAGAAATGGAATTACAGTGGACTGGAGCACTGCCAAATCCTCTTTACACAGTATTTTTAGATCAAGATCCCAATGGCCATTTTTTCTACATTAAATATTTTATCTTAACTCATACTGGCAGACATGCCACAAGGCTCTAACTTTCTCCCCATAAACAAAGAATCTATTAAAAACATGATACAAGCCATATCCAATAACTATATGTTATATAACATCATAGAGATTAATTTGAAATTAAACAGGACTGTTTGGTTAGAAATCGACTCTGATAGGTGAGAGACAGTACTGTAACTGAGCATCCCTGGTTCAGATCTAGCTTCACAAAACCAGTAAGCCACATATAAACCAAGAATGACCTATATGTGGTCTTTCAGATATTGCAAAATCCCAACTCCCATCGATGCTAGTGAGCAGAGTTAATGATGGGAGTTGCAGACTAACAATATCTGGCTGGTTTGATCCTACAGAAAGGAGCACACTCTGGGTCCCATCTGCTAAGGAGCGTTGGCTGGTGGGGCCCAGGAAGAGACCCTTGTCTGTCATGGCACCCATGCTCTGGAATATCATCCCTCTGGAGATCAGATTGGCCCTGTCCCTGTGGGCCTTCTGTAAGACCCTGAAGGCTTGGATCTGTGCTTGACAGAGTCTGATTCTTAGTTCTGCTGAACATTTGATTGCTGCTTCTATCATTTTTCCTGGCTGCTACTGTATGTGTTTTATGTTTTTTTGTATGCTTTTTATCATTTTTAGTATTGTTACCCACCCAGAGTCATGTATTTGAGATGGGTGGCCATATAAATCCACTCAGTAAATAAATACATGGCTGTAACCAAAATAACAATAGCATACTTTGTTCCCTCCTTAGCCCTGCATGTAATTAGTACAACTATTGCATGATGCTACAAAATTCCATATTTCCTGCCCTAAAGCATGAGACACACAGAGAGCTTGACAGGTTGTGGCTGTTTTCAATAGCAGCAAATAAAAGGGGGGCCACAAGAAGAACCAGAGAGGAAAAAGGCAAGGTTAATATTGCAGAGTTATTATTTAGGAGATAACCTCTGACTTAGTTTGATTATAAATAATGGGGAAGTTATTCAAATGTGAGAGCAAATATGTAACATAACACATAGGGAAATTATTGCCTGCAACCATAGCTTTCAGATAAAAACATCTGAATAGATGGTGTGTATCTGCATCTCTTTTTATACTTAACTGACATGGCCAGCCTAATGGGACTTGTAGTCTAAACAATCTGAGGACTCAATTTTAAGAGCTACTAGTCTAAAGAATTAAAGCTAGCTTCATTGATAATTCAATCAGTATGATCCAGCACAGTCCTGTTATTTTTTTATTATCTTCTCCACCCTTCAGGGTTCCAGATGGATAACAACACTAACATAGATATGTACTTCTTTAAATTATTTATTTATTTATTGAATTTAGATGAGGAAGTGACTCTGGGTGGTATGCCTGCATTCTAAGGAATATATGTAACTCTTGAATAATATAGAAAGCTAAAAGGATGTAGTTTTAGGGAGAAAAATCCATGTCAAGTTGTCTACATCCCAGCCATCCAAAATGCATATAAGTGTGAAATGCTGAGTGATAAGTTGAACAAATTTGTATATTTTCTACTGTTCTGTCAACCTTTCAATTTTGTGTAATTTAGTTCTTTAGGGTGATCAAGAGAAACAAATGATTACAGGCACTGAAACCCCGGAACTGGGAACAGATGCCACTTTCCTCTCTGACGTTTCATAGTATGTGTGGTAATTTCATTTTTTTTTTTTTTTTAGCATTCATGGCTTAGTGAAATTACATTTGTAATTTCACTAAGGATTTTCCCCTACATTCTGTGATATGCAATAGTTGAATTATGATATGCTTGGCTTATATTTCAATTGTAGAGAGCAGGGTGTGCCAGTTGAGTGTTTTGGTCTTGTATTTATTTATACACCTCCCCATCCCCACGTTCCAAAAACTTTTACAAGTGCTTACAAATTCAGAGGACTGAAAATCTCAACTTTCCAGCCAATGGGAAGATGTGAGCGCTACTTTCTTGGTGAACTCTGAAATGGCCAAGCTAAGAGGCGAAATGAGGAATCCCAAGGTGATACTGTCAATCTGCAGTGAGTTGACTCAGACTTGGAAACAGAGTTATCAAGGGAAACTGTCTGAAACAGCTAGGAGACTTTTGGCACATTTTCATTGGCTTCATTTTCTCTCACTACTCTACCTACAGTGCTTTAAATAATACACTAAGCAAACATGTACAAACTTCATCTGAACTTTCTTCTAACCTTCTGTGTTCAGCTTTGTTACCAATGAAGTTATCTTTCTGAATCTTTTGCGCGTTTCCTGGATTGCATTATCCTTCATTCTGTATCCACTAACAAGATATCTAGGTGCAAAGGTGATTTACTCTCCAGAGTAAACCACTAATTTACCTTTCTAGAAGGTAAAAAGTGTATTCTGGATCAGATTAGGAATCTTGGAAAAGATACCCACATACCCTTCACAACAGAACTGCTTCACAATGTGGAGAAAACAGCAGTGCAATCGTGCCACGGAACATTCCAAGATTTGCACACGTGTGTCTGCAACTTTATGCTTTACAAAGAAAACGGAGATTACATGCCCAATATCATCTTCCTTCCTTCCTTGATATTATATATACCCTCCACTTCCAAGATGCACTGTGGTTTACAATAAATATAAAAACATATACAGTATGTTCAAACAACCTCACATAAACACACACAACCCCCAAACTAGATAAATGGAGCCACATCAAACCAAAAGCAGTAAGGCAGCCCAACATTGCTCATTAGCCATCAAATCCCTTGGAAAGGATGGTCTTTGCTGCTTCCATGGAGTGAGAATAGCCACCAAGAAGGCTCACCTCCGGGCTTCTTCCACACATCCACACGGTCACAACCTGTTCTGTTATATCAGTGTAACAGGGTAGTACTGCCAGAAAGCAGCAACCCGGTATCACTACATGCTCACAATTTCTTTAATTGGAACCTATATCCATTCTATGAGAACAAGGTAAGAATTAAGAAAGTCTGAAAACTATCTGAGCTTTGTGGTTGGTTGAGGATTTGAGTTAAGGTTTTCCCAGATCAAATACAACTTTTTACTGAGATATCTTCTACGTCATGGACCAGCTTGTTCCACTGTGCAGGCTGAGTTGATTCACAGGAAGGGAGGCGCTCTCTAGAAGCAATTCTTTCTTTACTCTATCAGTAGCACAGGACAAAAACAACTCCAAGGAGAGTCTCCCAAGTCCATTAATTTTTTTACAATTAAAAAAAAGGAAAAAAATGTTTTCGTTTTTGAAAGATTTCTAAGAACCCAAGCTTGAGTAGATTTTATATCAAGTACAGAAATAAATCTCTGCATTCTACTCTGAATTATTTTACCTGCAGTCATCAAACGTTGACCCAGGAGAGGACAGGGCAAGACGCTTTCGCAACTCGTCCCGCTCGCGGGTCACCTGGCGAAGCTGAAACAAAATGGTCTCCACTTTTTCATTCATTTGCCTCACATCCACAACTGCAGGTGGGGGTGATGATGCTTTACTTGTTGTACCTGTCAGCAAATAAAAACAGGAACAGAATTACATGGGTTAGAAGAAGCATTTTCAAGGCACTGGTTGTCACCTTAAAAGTCTTGTGTGCTATAGCTTCTGCCATCCCACCAGATTGGACAGTATGCTATGAGTCCCCTTGGTGAAGCAGTGTCACCCAATGAGTCTTAGAAAGCATACCTTCTCATCAGAGTCTGTCTTGTGGAACAGCCTCCCCTCTGAGATACAGACAGCCCCAATCTTGCTGAGCTTCCAGAAGAACATGAGGATCTGGCTTTTCCCACAGGCATTTAGGGGCAGGATGTTAACAGAGTTGTGGCATGGATATGGGTGTGTACAATTAGTTAGTAATGAGACGTTTTAGGGGCCTCCACTTAAGTTTTTTTTTTTTTAACTGCTTATAAATTTGGATTATATTTATCTCTATTCGCTGCCCAGAGTTCCTTTAGATGGCTATATAAGTTTGCTTTAATAAATAAATTCATAAAATAGATTGATCATCTAAGACAGTAAATAAGATACTGTCTTAAAAAAAATACTAAGACAGTAGAAAGACAGGGCTTTCTACAAGGAAGAGTTTGAATATGGAAATTATAAATCTCCCTAGAACTCTAAATTTTGTAACAGGACATCCTGAGAACTAGATTATGGAATAAAACAAGTTTCTAGTACTTTGGAGAAGAGTCTGAACAGCTCTGACAGCCATCAGCATCAAAGTATCAGAGGGGGACAGAACTTTTTCTGGGTAAAAGTCAGAACCTTCAGAGCTATGCCCTGAAGATAGTTTCCAATCATGGGTTAGCACACTTCTTCCTACAATTCTGTGTACATTCAAGTATATTTTATTAAGCTGCATATCCTAGTTAGCCACAGGCCATATATCTCTCAGGATATGAGAACAGAGGCATTCTAACGTATTTTGAAATTCATAGATGTTAAATGCAGTCAACAGAGCTATGCAGAATATCAGGGAAGCATTATGTGCTAGCATCTCTCCGAAAACTGGTGCTCCATGTGCCAATGTGCAGCATCCTTTGAAAGGCACAATCCAGTTGCTCAGCGTAGCATGTCCCAGTAATTTTAGTAGAAGCGCTTTTGTGCCTGCATCACATTCATTCAGAATTATGCACATTTCTGATTCTTCCATGATCACAATTCCCTGGAGTGCAACTTGCAACTATCACCAGCTGATGGATTTTTACTTTCACACAAACCTACAACTGTCATCATTTCAAGTTTTCTGACATATACTTCCATTCCTAATTCAACCGATACCATCATTCCCCTCCAAGTATTCTTCAGCAACTTAACTGTGATGCTAAAATTAAAATGGTTGATTATCTGACTACCCTGAAAATCTAACGTTAACTTCCTGACATGTTCCAGAAAATGTCAAAGGCTAACAACATTTCTGCAGTAAATGATGCAGAACAAATTCAGCACAGCAAGACAGGAAGACAGTAATCTGATAGTGGGAGTAGAACTCTCAGATACTCTATAGCTTTTAGAGATTATCTTTTAGGTATTTATTCTGCTGATCTGATCCTGCTTAGGCCACTCCATTATGATGAATCAGAATCAGGCACTGAATTTGCAGTTTGTTTTTCTGGAGAAACAATGACACAGTCTCAGAGAAATGCAAAAGGTGTTTTTTCTTAAAAAAAAAAAAAAAAAAAGCAAAAATTCTCATGACAATTCCACACATTCTTTATAGTATAGTTTGTGGAAACTTAAGAGAAATACCTCGTTTTTTTTTTTTCTAGTGAAGGCAGAGATTTCTTGACTGGCAGATGGGGAGAAGGATCTTTGAAGAGCGGCTATGGGAAGTACTGTTACGATGACAGTTTTTCTATAAGCTTTTAAAGCTCCTTGGAGTTCACTTTTAAATAAACAATGAAGTTCCTTTTCTCAGAACACTGTCATCTTACTGGGATAAAAAGACCGCTGCAATGTGATTTAAACCACACGGTCAGAAGTGCAAAACAATGCAAACCACTCATCATAAGCTTAGGATGAACCAATGTTTTTATTTGCTGAATAATGATTTCATTTACTGAAGCATATATCTATTATAGACACAACAGCTTTCCAACAAGCTAGACTGGAACAAATAAACAGGCTAGCAAGGGTACAGAAACTTTTCATTTATTGTAGAAAAGCTAAAAAGTCAGTATCCAGTGACTGCTAATATTAAGTGCAATTTCTATTTATACTGTAATCAGCGTCCAGATTCTTGGACCTGTCGCTCTCTCCCACTCCATGTAAAGGGACAGAAGTGATTTTCTTTTGTGGGGGAGGAACAGTGTTCATCCATTCCCCGTTTTGATAATTATCTGGCATCAGGCTGTTTACTTCTGACTGTGTGAGAACAGCTCCCACAGGACTATAGGACAAATCCGTTTCCTGACTTTGCCCCAGACACACAAAGTTTTCCAAGACTCCCTAGAATTAAAACCAGATTCTGAAAATAAAATACAAGTGGGCATATACTTAATCATGTAATACTAAGCTTTACACGCTATTTAGAGTACTTGAGCAGCATAAAGCTTGCTAGAAACTCTATAATTAATGAAGTACTCTGTAATAAATGAAACATAAGCACTCTTGTTAGCAGGAAACATGTGGCCAAGCCAATTCCTTTGGACTCATGATTTCTGACATTGGAATTACTGTCTTAGAGTTGGCAGCCAAAACAGAAGAATCATGTTATCATCAGAATTCTGGCCCAAATGAAAATAAAGGAACAAACACTAAAGTTAATATTACATTTTAAAATCTTCAGATAGGAACAGTACTCAGTATTAAAAACAGCTGTCTGTAATAAATTAAAGTCAGACATGATCAAAATTCTAGAGGAAGAATTAGAAAAGTTAAAAAAAAAAGCTTATAATTGTATTTGTGAACAATTGATCTATGAAAAGTTTGCAGCAGTGAAAAAGGGTACAGAGGTTTGAAAGACAGGTTTCAGACAGTGGTCTAGACATACAAGACATGATCTGTTTTTTAAAAAACGTACAAAAATTTATTTGACAAAATCTTGGTCAGAGACTGTCACTCATGGCAAGTGTATACAGGAAGTCCTCACTTAACAACCATTCACTTAGTGACCATTCAGAGTTACAACAGTGCTGAACAAAGGAACTTACAACTGGTTCTCACACTTACAACCATTGCAGCACCCCTGAGGTCATGTGATCATGATCCAGGCGCTTGGCAATCAGCTCTCTACAGCATCCCAGGGTCACGTATTGCCATTTACGACCTTCCCAGCCAGCTTCTGGCAAGCAAAATCAATGGGGAACTGTGTGATTTGCTTAACAACCACATGATTTGCTTAATGGCTATGGTGATTCACTTAATGACCACTGTAAAAAAAAGTCATAAAATCGGGCACAACTTGCTTAACAATTGCCCCACTTAACAACAAATTTTCTGGTCCCTATTGTGATTGTTAAGCAAAGACTAGCTGTAATTTTAAAATTAGGGCTGCATTGTGCTTTGAACTCTGGCATAGCCCTGGGTACATACTACACCCAGGTCCCTTCTTAAAGTAGCTGTGTCTTTTCTTGCAGTAGCAGTGCAATACCAGGAAAATATGTATTTGAGCTAATGAGGAGCAATGCCTTCTCCAAAGCACCTTGTCTCACCTTACTGGTGCCTCTTTATCTCATGCCCACTCTGAAGGACCTTTTCAGCTTTAAATCCAAAATGTCTAGCACCTTGTAATCAGCTCTGCTGCCACAAACTAAGACCATCGAAACCTTGAAATTCAAGCCAACGGGTGAGCTAACCCAACACCTAGATTTTCAAGGGAAGCCTCACTCCATTTATCACCATTTGAGTTACTATTTCCTGATATGTTTAATTGGCAAGATACATTTCTACCTTGTCTGGATTTTCATTTTTTCTCTCCTTGTCTATAAGCAACCTCAGATTCTGATTCAGAATTTCAACAATTTTCTTGGATTTCAACCCACAAGTTTGGGATTCAGTTATGCTATACAACTGTTTAAGGCCAGCTGAGCATATATTGGCAGACCTAGCACCAAACCTTGCTGTTCATTCACAGCTCTGCCAGAAACGGTAGATTGCCTTCTGGTGCTACTGGTTTATTTTTAATTAAACTTCCAGCGAGACATAATACATGGAGCTCCAAGAAATAGTTCACAATTCCAAAAAAGAAGTCTTTGTGCAATTTAAAATTAAAATAATACAAAATATAATTATGATTGTACTCCATGTTTTATGTTTATTACTTTTATTATAATTACAATAATATTAAAAGTGGCTAATGATACTGTGAAAATAAAAAGAGAAAAAATTCAATCCCTATTATATATTTATACTTCAACGTATTTCAGTTCCCCCTTGGAGACATACAATCCAATCACTTCCCCATCCCTAATCACCAAAGGCACTCAATGCTGAGTCTATTGCTACTGGCAGACCCTGAGTGGGAAAAAAGAGGGTGGGCTCTGAACAATGGGAGAAAAATGGATAAGCCATATAAGCCCCCCTAACAAAACATACTGCTTCTCAAGCATTAAATGCTTTATTGTCCAATTTTGGAAGCAAATAACCTCCATCACAGTTTAGTGGCACCTCAAGGAGGAGGTCACTAGATCTTCTAAAAGGGGGCTATGTTTCTTCCTTTGCTTTTGAGCAGGGGGGAGGTTTAACCAGTAAAGGTAGTTCCCAGCTTAAGAACGAGTTCCGTTCCCAAGATCTGTCCTTAAGTCGAATTTGTATGTAAGATGGAACAGTATTATTGTATAATACTATATAAGTAATATTGCATAATAAATTCAAACTATTGTGTATTTAACTCAAATTTTGCTACAATAGTCTCTGTTCTTAACTATGGGTCTTCTGTAACCCAGGTGTTCTTAATTTGGGGACCCCCTGTATTTCCAAGAGCAAACAATTCATTGTAGAACATGTCAACCCTTTTCTAGATTAAATCTTGTGATATTACTAATATTATCATAAAGATGGTGATGCC